CAACAAGAAATATCGGGAAGTGGACACTCCTTGTCTCATCGGCTGTGTAAATACCCACCCGAGTAGCAAGCTCTATCACGCTGCATTCCCGGCTCACTCCTCCCAGTCTGAAAGCAAAGGCTGTCCTGTCATTGAGTGGCTTCCTAGGATCATAGGAAACTGTAGCATAGAACTCCAGCAAAAACTCTCGATACACCGGCTCCTGGATCCTGAACAACCGCGCCCATCCCTGACACACAAACAATTCCACACCACTCGCGTCCGAGTGTGTGTATTGCAAAAATTCCTGGATCAATGCAGCAAGTCCAGTCCTGGCAGCCAACTCCCAGTCGAAAGAGGGTGCAATATCAATCTCCTTTGTGAGAAGCAGGCTCAAGTTGGTGACATAACGCGCCCGGGTAGCATCGCTCAGAGTTTGCAGAAATTGTAAAAAGCGATGATCGGTCACATCCTCGGGAGGGTTGGTTCTTTGTGCCCTTCGAGCCATAATCTGCACATATTAACATACAAACACAAAACCCACAAAATATGGCAGCATTAATAAATTTTTTTTCTTTTTTTTTTAAACCAAAATAACAAAAAAAATTGATACTTGGACATGGAATTTATGTGGGGCGGACATCCAGCACATGAAACTGCCCCCTGTTCGTTTTCTTATTCCCATATCCAAATAACGCAGTAAGGGCAACATTGCAGTCAATTTTTTTTAAAAATTGCTTGGTCAACAAGATCGTAGGAGAGAACTCGGGACCTCCCTAAAAATATGAATCAATCTCATTTAACAGGGAAACATGTATAATAGTCAAAAATTCGAGCCAGAATCAAGAACTCGCAGTCCCGGGGGTACGCATTGCGTACGACCCCATGCTCGAACCGGTGAATGTGGCACAGAAATTAGACAAAATTAAGCTCGAGGGTTTAATGTATTAACCGAAATCGGTCCATTCAAGCCCTAATCAACACATACATTTGCAAAATCGACCCTAATTCGAAAAATAAATAAACCCTAGATTTCAAGCAAAAGCCGAATGCAGTTTTTTCATCAAATTTAACACAAATCTATAACATTTAATAACCGAAAAAGCTTACTTGTGTGTCGAATTAAACAAGAACGAAGCAGAATCGGGAGTCTTTGGAGAGATTCGCCGTCACAGTTTGCGCAAGAGAAGAAGAGGGAAAAAATAAAGAAGAAGTCAACAGGTCAAAAGATATACCTGGTCGCCGTGTTACGCGGGGCGTAAATCAAGAGTACGCGGGGCGTACATCAACCCCCTGAAATGTTCATTCGCGATCCGGGGCATATTACGCACGGCGTAATTAAACTCACGCGGGGCGTAATTTTAAATGACAATTTCCCCTCTTTCTTTTAATTGAATTTCCTTTTTTTTTTTTTTTAATCATTTCATCTAGGACTTAAAACTTATTTAATTTTTTTTTTTAATTTCCTTAAGCTTATGATGACTTCACGATGAGTGATAAAAAAAATTGAGATGTCATAATCACTTATCTTTGTCAAGATCAAACAGCAATGGTTGATCAAAAACCTTTGCATGCAAGAATTGGTTTGCGAAAACACCCACTTTCGGAACCCGTTAGAATATTTCCCTTGTTTTCCTTGCACCATTAACTAGAAGCGGAACAAGAAGTGACCTAACTAGTCAAGAACAGCAAGAGCTCGGTCTTCCACTTAACCACCACAATACGCCTTGCTATACTACGCCTCATGGATTGAGTTGGGCAAATCAACAAAGTAGTAGGCTAAGCAGGTCAAGAATTCCCTAATCGCTTTCATTCTCGAAACCCATGCAAAAGCAAAGTCAAGCAATGTGTACAATCCCAAATTCCTGCAAAATAAACAAGAACCTTCCCGACAAGTGAAAAGATATCATCGAAAATCAAACTAAAAAAAATTGAGAACTAACTAAAAACAAATAACGAATAATAAAATAAATTAATGACAACCCGTTCCCCGGCAGCGGCGCCAAAAACTTGATGTGCACAAAAGTACCCACTAATTTTAATATTTATAACCTAACAAACTTAGACTATCTATGCACTTATAGGCAGTGTACCTAGTCAGATTACAGTATAGCTTAGGTAAGTCGGGTGTCGATCACAGGGAACGGTGGATTAATTTAATATATTTAATTATAGGTTATATGTCACACGAAAAGAATACTTTAATAAATCTCAAACTGATAATTAATTAACCATTCTCGATAAACTGACAGGAAAAACAAATCTCTTTAGGTACTTTGGTTTAGACAAATTCCACCTTGAAAACATAGACAATTGCATGCACAAATTCATTTATTCAAGTTCACCGATTCCTAAATTGATTAGATTCATGTTCACTATAACTAATCCTTTAGCAAACAAGTTAATTCAAACAGTGATCAATTGATTAAACTAACATGCTTCCTAGTGTTCAGTTCGTATCAAGCAAGACTTGTAAACTTAGTTAAATTAAACATTTAATTAACCTCTTGTTGATGGTCATCAAACAAGGCTCACACATTAACTTATTTATTCTCATGTTAATCCTAGTTTCACATCCGTTATTTCTAGTCTTATAATCTCAATAGTCATCAAAAATCATAAGAGACAAGCAAATCAAGCAGGTTTTCATACAACTCAATTCACTTAACAATTAACAGCAAATAATCATCATTAACACATGAGGATCTTTGAACAAGCTTGGCAAGATAAATTAAACACAAATAAATTATTTAACATCACAATTAGTCTAGGAATCAAAACTTTATTCAATCATAAACACAAAGTAAAAGGTTTTTACACCCTAATCAGAAAATAAATACAGAAAGTACCATAAGGAAGTGCTAAACATGGTCACGTTAGCAATCCATATGATTACCGACATGTATCCGCTCTCTAATCCTTCAGATCTCTGCTCCCGTTAGCTTAACGGCCTTCCGGCCGCCTTCTAGACCCTCAAAACGGCTTAACAGAAGTTAATTGTCGACTAAATTAGGTTAGGAGTCGAAATCCCCTTCCTGGTTAGCTAAAAATCGATATTTATAATCTTTGTGGCCGACCTAAGTACGCTGGGCGTACTCAGATTTACGCGGCGCGTACTATGGATATACACGCGATCATGTATATCTGTTGCAAGCCGGTACGCGGGGCGTACTCTTAAGTTACGCGGGGCGTAACCGCTACTTCAGCACCATTTTGTTTCTTTTAGCTTCTAAGCCCGGTTTCCGCTTCAGTCTTTTCTTTTGTGCTTTATTGACAACAAATAGCTGCAAAACATAATTCAAAGTATTATGAGTACTCTCTAGTTCTAAAATATAATAAATAAGGCCAAAATATTAAGATAAAGTGCATAAAAATATATATAAAAATACACATATCAGGCATGCTGGTATATGGGGGCATATCGTAAAAAAGGTTATCAGGAAACTTAGCTTTAACTTCATCACCCAACTCATCTCTATCTAAATTGCTTTTTAAGTCGGTTATATCTAAATGTACATCATAAATATCAACATAATCCCCGTAAACATGCTTTTTTTCATTTTTTTGACTCGGATTTTTTTTTCTTTTTACTTTTATCTACTACACGCCTATTCATAACTTTAACTTCTTGTTCGGGAACATCTTTACAATGACCACCCACATCATTAAGATATGTACCAACATCATCATCACCAACATACTTGTAATTCTCACGATCTGCATAGTGAATAGATGAATAACTAACATTAACATTTTCAGCAACACTGTGAAACTGAGGTACACTAGGAGTATTGAAAGTATCTATTGGATCGTTGCTCCGTTTATAGCTGGATAAATTACCAACCGGCTGATTTCCACTGTGACCAGCCTCATTAACCTCATCTCCTTCATCAACCACCACAAACACTTCGACAGTCCTTCCTCCACTACATTTGATTACATTTATCAACATTCTAACATCCATGTCTTCAACTATATCTATATAATAATTCAATTCTGGATGATGGAAATGAAGTTCTATATTTGTCTAACAAACCAATTTTTCTTCTCACCAAAGATACAAAATCACTATAACTAATATACTCAGAAAATATCAAAGAAAATTTAGAAATACCTCCCTGTGGACATACGTATTCCAGATTTGTTTCAATAATTTGCCATCTCCCACCAGTTATTAGACAAACCAAATATTCAATCGTTTTTTTTAGAGAGATTTTAGAGAAATTTCCTCCTAAACAAATAACAACTAAACTGATAATTTCTACAAAAGTTTATATATAGTAAGGTTATTTCGTAGTCAAACCAATTGATTTCATAGTCAAAATAACAAAAAGAGTAAATTACACGAATGATCCCTACGGTTTAGGGTAATTTGCGTGTTTAGGTCCTAACTTTTTTTTTTTTAACTCGGAAGGTCCCCACTGTTTGTTTTTGTTACGCGTTTGGTTCCTATCTTACCTAAAAAGACTATTTTTCCCTTGATTTTTTAATTTATTTAAATAAACATTCCTCCAATCCCACCCCTCTAATTTTATATTGCCTACTCCACCATTTTTCTCTATTTAAATAATTGTTTTTTTAGGTAAGACAGGGACCAAGAGTGTAACAAAAACAAAGAGTAGGGACCTTCTAAGTTAAAAAAATATGTTAGGAACCAAACACGCAAATTAACCTAAACCATAGGGACCATTCGTGTAATTTACTCTAAAAAAATAAAATAAAAAATCGTAAAATTGTAGATGAAATACATAGGAAATAATAATAACTAGTGTAGGTGCCCATGCTTTGCATGGGTTGGATGTGAATTACTAAGCAAAATCATACAATGCAATTTTAATGCAAAAAAAAAATGAAAACTATAATCAGCAAGAATCCAATAAGATTAAAAGGCAAAAGCCAAAAAAATTGGTCCCTTAAAAATGATATATTTTAATTTTCAACAATATTTTTATACAAAAACCTAATTCTTGGAAGAAATACATCACTTAAGAACATATGTAGAAGTCAATCATCATCTCATACTCTGATTCAAGAAACTTTACCTTCCTGTCCATTTATGTTATTCCCTCCTGAAATCAATCATCAATCAATAATTCTAATTATATTAACAAACTGAAACATCTTGATTGAGCCAAATAAATAGCAGCATCCTTATCAAAATCAAGCTTAAGTCAAAAGAAAGTTTACATTTCAAAATTCCAGTGTTTTAAAAAGTCCTAAAATAAAAGTAGGATGTTGTAATTGCTTGTGTTTGAAAGTATGCTTCTTTAAAAAGAACAATGATAAATAAGAAAGTGATTAAAATGGAGATATGATGTCGGTAGAAAATATCATCCTCTTTAATTTGTGGATGCTTTTACCAGATTTTGTAATAATTGAACAAATTCAAGCATGCGTGTACATAAGGTACACAACAATATTTCCTTGTTCAGTAAAGAATGTGAGTAGGGTATGAAAGAATAATAGTGTTACAATGTAAAAAAGGAAATGTAATGAGTTATTAGTTATCATATTTCATAATCATGTTTGCTTCGTTAAAAACGTAGTTATATTGCCATACAACTCATTAAACCTTTACCAAATTCCATTAAAATAAGCAAAGAGAAATTTCAGTTTCATATTAAAAGGTGTAAGAATGTTAAAATTACAGGTTTGTACTAAAATCTACAAAAGAAAAAGAAATACCTTTTTAAAAGCATTTGAAATCCTAACAGGCATCACCAAATCCTCCTTATCAACTTTTTTTTTTTTTTTTTTTTCATAATTCACCTTTTTTTAAAAGCAATAACCATGTAAATCAATAACAAACATCAATTTTCCTCTTAAATAGATAACATTTCAATTACTCAATATATTAGGACACATATAGCAACTTTCAGTAACTTTTAGTAATAGGGGTAAAAGATCATGAGTCATATATCAGGAGTTCAGAACCTTACACGTGCAAATCGTTTACCATATTTAGCCACATCTAAATTGAAAACCTTAGATCAAAACCACACAACAATATCAGTCCCATATTAAAGTGTACAAAATAGATTTAAACAATCATCCCATAAGTAAAAAAAACATTACTTTAACAAATAACAGGCAGTATAAACGTGCAATTTCCATTTGATCTTTGAGTTGTACTTTAGTTGTAAGGTCTTCTATAACTTCAAAAAATCTCATTACACAACACATCTGTCATGCATTTCATCAAACAGTTACCGTGCATAACAACAAAACGGATACCTGTAAATTATTGGGTGTAGTAGGGAAGCTATGTCATTGTTGTGTTCGAACCGAACCAGAAGCATCGGGACGAAACTGATCCCCTTGTAATTGTTGTGTATGAGCTGAACCAATTCAAATGTTCCATTGCAAAACTGTATGGTAACATTCTTTACTGATAAAAGAACGCACAAACCTGCATTGTCTTTGTCATCAGCTGATGATGATTTTACAAAGGCAAATGAAAAAAAAAAATGAATGAAGCAATAGGAACCAAATTCGATCGGGGTATGCACCAGAAATCGCTAAGAGGTATCAACGATTGAGGAGTAAGCGGAAAACCTTATTTAACCTCAAATTTGTTGGAAATCAGGCCCTCTTTTGTCAACTGCAAAACAAAGATTCAACCTTCTTTTGTTACGTGAGGAATATGATGTAGAAGAAGAAGTAATTGTGACTCAAACGGCTGCACATATTATTCAGAAAATAAGAAGGCTTTTATAGCCTACATACCCTAATGAACCCTAAACAAACTAAACTCAACTAAAGGAGAACAAGCCCACGTTTTTCCCCTTTTCCAGCTCCTAATACTTGGTCCACATGACCCATTCAATTGAAGACCCAAAGTATTTACTTTACTAAATAACAAAGACTAACATACTAATTAAATAAACCTGTCAAGATTAAATAAATCCCAACAAAATTAATCGGTTTGTACTGGAAAAATGCAGAGATCGTGAGAGAGCTGTAGTTAACTTGACAGCCAAAATCGAAGAACACACGCTGTACTCAGGTTCTCTTTCTTTCTGTGCCTTTTTCATCCCGATTGTTTAGAGATAGAGACGGTAATCTGGAATATCACTTTTGTGGGTTCATCGTCTTACTGAGGAATTTCGAAGTTGCTAATGGAACTACCAGTCCAGTGCGATCGGGAGGAATTATTCATACGTCATCATCGGAGGGGCGAGGTGGAAATCGGTCGATGGGTCGTAGATTCTCAAACGATTTGCAGAGGTAATCGGCCTCTATGCAGGGCAATGGGAAATGTGAAACTAAAATACATACGACGGAGGAAGATGAAAGGAATAAAGCGGTGAGAAAAGGTCTGTGCGGCAATGGGATTGTGAGAAGAAAACGGAAGAATCGTTGCCCATTTTGTACTTTAAGCCGGAAGCCAAACATAAAAACAAAAGCAGCCGGTAAAAAAATGAGCCAGCCGATAAATAGATAAAAACCAGACCAAAATTTTTATCCTGGTTAAAAAAACACTGTTCATAAGAACATTGAGATTTAATTGTATATATAATAAAAAATACCCACCTGCAAATGTACAAGTGGTTAAAGTACACTTGTGCTTTAGCCACTTGTACATTCGCAGATGAAATGTGCAAATCGCAGAAGGACCATTCCCGTCTGCGATTTTTGTGGCCATTTTTGCAATTTCAGTGTTTTTGATTATTTTCCACAAAGTGATTAGTATCTTTGGCTATTTTTGTAATTTTCTCTTTTTTTATAATGATCACACATAAAATCACTAATCTATTTTTAAAAGCAATTTTTATACGTATCCCTTTTATCCCTGTATAATAGTGTTTATGCATCCTTCCGATGTGACACTATATGTGAGTGAAGGGTCAACCATTTTTAAATTATGTTATTTTCTCACACAGGATTCGAATATTCGGTTACTTAGAAGGACATCATGTTAACATCAATTATTAAATATCGATGAGCTATAAATCAAACTGCATATTCAATTAGGACAAGAGAAGTGAAAATAAGTAGGATGAAATCTTGAAAACAAAATATTATAAAATAATCATAAGTTTCTATTAAATGTTATTTTATGGATCATTTCTATTAATTGTTATAAGTGCGATGTATCATATTTTATGTTTTTATATCTATTTTAGTGTAAATTATGGTCGGTTTATGTTTTTCATCAAAATTCTCATACTATTTATATTTTTATGTCGTTTTTAGGTATTTCAAAGGGATCAGTATTCTGGAAGCTTTTGAAAGCAACTTTAATGCATTTTTAGAGTTTAAGCTAAAACACCTGAGGACGTTGGAAGCTGAAATAAAATAGCTAAAACTGAAGTTTTCGACTCTGAATCGCTCGTTTTTGTAGTTACGCGATCGCATCCAATTTACATGATCGTTTTTTTGTCCCACAATATTTTTTTGGCCACTTAAATCACCTTTTGAGACCTCGAAGTGAAAACACAATCATAGCCTAAAAGCAGGATCGCGTTACACGATCGTGTTTTTCTTTCGTAACTTTTCCAAACCTCAAAAAATCGATTTTTGTGACTTTAAACAAGAAACACGATCAAGGGTTCAAAACATGATCGTGTTTTTGGTTAAAATCCCCAAAATAGCAGCCTACTTTATTAAACAGTGCCTAAACATATTTTTCTTGCTTTTTCGTATTTTTTGCAAATGTGTTTTCTGGTAATACCCTTCCTGACTTCCAAATCAATTTAGATTATTGCAGAGCCATTCCATACGAATTTGCAGATGATTTTCATGCATTTTTGACTTTTTCTTACGATTTACAAGGATTTGAAGATGGCAACTCAACCACTTACTTTAGTTTTACTCGTTTTACTTTAGAGTCTTATTGTCATTACTAGGGGATAGGAGGTATAAACACATGCTCAAGGATATTGAGCTTCAAAATAACAATGAAGTGTTTCTCTTACATAAACTGATATATTTTATTTTTTACATATTAAAATGTTATATTATTTAAAATAAATAAATAAATAAATAAATATATTGAAATCTTAATTTTCTTCTTGAAAACATCTTTAACATTGTATGCTCATTTAATCAGACAACAACCTAAATGTCACCTATTAAATAAATGTTTCGTATAGATCGTAATTAATACGTTTATTAATTGCGTTCAATTAACGCGGTGTAGACACCAAATTGTCTCATAAATTGTCTCATCCAAACTGAAAATTGTGGATGTAGATATCATGTATCCTTTCTTATATAAAGTTATGATTAGCATACACTATCACATACTCTAAAATTACACTGCTACCAATCTAATTAACAAACTTTGAACTTTTCCTACTATTAAAGCTTTCTAAAAGTGATATTTTCAAAAGTCTTTTCCTAAGTGATGTATTCTATTTCTAAATTATCCCTTAGCATATTTTACCAATATATTTTTCACCAAATAGTATTTAATTTTTTTGAAATACTATGCTCCTATGAGCATATTAAAAATTAAACCAAACTATTACAAAATAAAACTATTTTCAAATATGGTCATTAAAAAATTGAAACAACCATATCGTTAAAAGGAAACATTTTCCCCAGTCTTTGGGTCTTCAACATTCTCCCCAAATAATATTTAAATTTTTTGAAATACCATATTCAAAGACTTTACTCATTTCTCTCAATCTCAAGACACTTTATTACCCTTTTTGAGATTATATATCATCTTCAACTACACCTCTGACGCCAATTTCATAGAAAAGATCTTGGCATCATTTATAATCTCACCAACATTTCCTTCAAGCTCACTATACTTCTTGGAAAGCTCTTCAATTTTTGTAGTAAGATCCTTTACCTTAAGACCAAGATCTTTATCCATTTTCTTCAACTCCTTCTCCTTCTCATACAACGTGATCATCGGTTGTCTATCTGAGTCTTCAAGATCTCGCTTGAACTCCTTGATACCCCTAAATATCAGGATGGTAGCTTGAAACAACAATTTATTCATAAATATATATATATATATATATATATATATATATATATATATATATATATATATATATATAGACACACACACACACTAACAAGCATGTGATAAAGATAGAACTGATTTACAGCTTGAAGAAGGATATAAAGTGTGACATGCCTAATTTCACGGCCAGTCAAATACTGATTTATTTATGCTTATTTAAGATCAGCTTTTCCTTTTGAGGAATAATATTACGGAATTTGTTCCCAAAAACATGATAATGATATTATCAAAGCATTTCTAAATAAATCTATTTTATTTATATTAAAACATTGGGATGTCGTTGTCAATACAGAAACATAAGCATAACGAAATATTACAAGCCTTACAGTAATTAAACTAGTAGATTAATATTCTTCGAATCTCTCAGTAGAATGTGTCTTTTATATCGCTACCTGTGATACAATAAACTAAGTGGGTCGGGTTAGGAAACCTGGTGAGTACATAGGGTTTTCAACCCATAATAATATAATTAATGTGTTTAATCATAAAAAAATTAACCAAATTTCCCATCTTTATTATCTTCTTTATTCTTAAGGATCTACCCTAAGGATCATTTATGCTGATAGTACTAGTTCATGGATTCCTCCATGGTATTTTTCAGTAGTTTTTCTTATATGTAATCCAAATTCACTAAATTGTATTGATATCTATATTCTATTATGATAAAATTAGCATTCGTACAATGTCTATTTTTACTCCTTACCATAAATACATCATCGGGATGTAGGTCGAAGCATTGAGAATTGTACAACCACACATGAAATTTATATGTGAATATAAATGGATGGATACAACTAGAACTGACCATGGTTACTCACACGCTCGTTTCTCCTCATGCAACATAATCATGTATTCCCATGGAAACAACTAACCAACTAGCGAAACATCGGTTTTACTGATAGACTCCGCTACTTTCCAAGCCGCAGTGACAACGGCTGTGACAACCGTCATGGCACAACTCAATGCTAACAACACATATGGAAATGAAAACGGAAAAGGTATTAACAACTCCAACCATAGTAATAACCAAGGGCACCAACGGGGGTTGCCTACAAGGACTACCCAGACCACAAACCTAAGAGCAAGAAAACAAAGTCCCAGAAAGAGAGGAAGAGTAAAATAGCACAAGATCCCTCGAAGAGACAACAGACTATTGCGGTTCATGCTGCCATAACACCTGCCATACCAGCACTGGTCTGTCAATACGTTGGAACCCTCCCAAAGTGTAACAGATGTAATTTTCATCACTATGGAGCCTGCCGAAAGTTACACTGCAAGAATTGCAACACGAAGGGATACACTACCCATTTCTGCAGGGCACCAGCACTACCAATCCCCCAGACCCCCAACATTAGAATAAGCCCGACCTACTACAAGTGTGATGAATCTGGACACTTCAGGAAGGACTGTCCAATAACAGGGAGCTCTGGCAGGGAGGGAAGAGTGCTGACAATCACTACAAGAGAGATGTAACGACCCAAAAATCCTGACCAAATTTTTTGTTTTAAAATCATTAATAAAACCATAATTACCATTTGATATATAAAACATAAGTCACGATACTCAAAACATCATAACAAAATATGTGCCAATGTATCCAAATCACATATCAAATATCAGAGTAATAATCCAGGCTAAAGAAACTATGGTGTGTGTCATGTGATCATCCCGAGCCCTTCCCCTTGCTAGTGGAAGTGCCTGAAACCAAAACTAAAAATTGTAAGCACGAAGCCTAGTAAGCTCCCCAATATACCACATACCATACACATAATCACATAAAGAATATACTAGGCCTAGCCCACTACATTGGGCCCCACCCGAAATTGCATAAATCCAGCATCGGGGGCATCGGACCGAAGTCTGGTATACAAAGCATATTAACACATATAACATAAACACATAACATACATAGGGCTTGCCTTGGCATCGAACCGAATTTTGGAAACAAATAAGCAAACCATGCAAGAATCACAAAGACATCAAGCATATAAACATTCCTCGGGCTTGCCCCGGCATCGGACCGAGGTCCAGAACATCTAATATCTATATGGGCTGACTCGTTACTACTTGAGAAAAACTGGCTTCGTAATTCTGAACATAGAAGATCGTGGGAAGAAACCTCTAACAGTTGCTCCGGTGACTCTCGACTATCAATATAATAACAACACTTAATCAAAATCCATAATACTTCCTAGGGTAAAATGACCATTTTACCCCTTGGTCTAAAATTGGACCATACCCACAGCCCAAACCCATCTTATCCTTCCCAGCCCACCAAAGACCTATTAAAGACCCACTAATGGCCTGATTTTCCAAATTTGGGCCCCATTCCCCAAATGGACCTTGCCTCAAGCCCAATAAATCCTTAGCCCCAAAATAACTAATTTCGAGTGGACCAATATGGCCCAAATACAATAATTCTCAGCCCTAGGCCCAAATTCCATTTCATAGTGGCTATGGGGCCCAACTTCTAAGGCCCAAAAGCCCAAGTTCACCACTCATCATGCATACATGTGGCGTACTTGGCACGTACGCCCAACATACGCTGTCCTTGACCAAATGCGGGAAATTGACCCAGTACATGCATCGTACAAGGATTATGCCAAGCGTACTGGCCAGTTTCCTTGGGGCTCTCTTTGGGACTTAATCCATTAAGCCCTCACGTCTAGAATGTAGATCTAGGTCCTTAAAGACATCTGAGACCAAAAAGTTACAAACTTTATGTGCTTGCATGCATGGGTGGGGGCCAAAACATGATTTTGCTTCTATAGCAAACTTTATGACCATCAAAAACTTGCATGGTTGGGTCTCAACCAAACAAGTCTGATTTTTATGACCCTAAGTGCTTCAAATGGCTCAAAAGGATGGTTCTTAGGGTCTAAAACCATCAAGATACAAGAAGGCCCAACAACGGAGTCCAAAAGTGACATAAATCATCCCCAAAATTAAATCTAAGCAAACAATAACCAAGTTTGGAGCTTGATACCTCAAATGAGTTAGAAATGATGCTAATCCCATGGATTTACAAGCTTTCTCCAACTTCTTGCTCCTTCTTCAAACTTCTATCTCTTCAAATCCACCCAAAGCACACCAATAAACTCCAAAATGAGCTCAAGATACAAATGAGAGGGTTAGGGTTCGAGATGGACACTAAGAGGGCATGGGAGGCTGAGAGGATAATGGTGTTGGAGGATATAAGTTGTTTAAATATGGTGCAAACCCTAAAATTTAGGGTTTGCATCTGAACACCCTACGCCCCGCGTACACATGGGTACGCCCAACGTATGTATGGAGCCTCCCCAATGCGCGCCTCTCCTATGTACTCCGCGCGTACACCTTGTACGCCCAGCATACACCTTAATTCTTGCAATTTAATGTAAAGAACAATAATACAATTGACAATAATAATCATAATACCTGATGACTTCCGGACGTTACAATCTCTCCCACTTATTTTAGACTTCATCCTCGAAGTCTACTGCATTTGAAAACAAACTCGGGTAGTGTTCCCTCATCTCCTCCTCGGGCTCCCACGTCCACTCAGAACCCTTACGGTGCTACCACTGCACCTTCACTAGCTCTACCACCTTGTTCCTCAAGGTCTTCGTCTTCCGATCTTAAATCGTAATGGGTTTCTCGATGTAATTCAGATTGTCATCAAATTGAATATCCTCCAAGGGTACGACTGTTGAATTATCCACTAAGCACTTCCGCAACTGGGAAACATGCAAAGTGATGTGGATTTGAATGAGCTCTGCCAAAATATCCAATTGGTATGCCACCTTGCCCACCCGGGCTATGATCCTGAAGGGGCCGATATACTTGGGGACCAACTTACCCCGTTTCCGAAACCGGATGACACCCTACCATGGTGACACCTTCAGGAGGACAATGTCGCCCACTTGAAACTCCAAATCTGAACACCGCTTGTCGGGGTAACGTTTCTGCCGACTTTGAGCAGTCTGAAGCTTGCTATGGACTTGTTGAATCATCTTTGTAATCTTGAGCACCACTTCGATACTCCCGATGACCCTCTGACTGATCTCGACCCAACATATAGGGGTCCAACACTTCCTCCCGTAGAGCATCTCAAGGGGAGGTCGGTCTATGCTAGCGTGGTAACTGTTGTTATACGAAAATTCCGCTAATGGAAGATACGTATCCCAACTACCACCAAAATCCAATACACATGCACGAAGCATGCCCTCGAGAGTCTGAATCATCCTCTCGCTCTGTCCATCCGCCTGAGGGTAGAAAGCGGTGCTGAAATGAAGACGAGTACCCATCTCATCATGAAACTATTTCCAAAATCTGGACGTAAAACGGACATCCCGGTCCGAAACAACCGACACATGCACTCCATGGTGTGCTACTACCTGTCTCACATAGACCTCGGCTAGCTTCTTGGCTGATATACTCTCCTGAATCGGGATGAAATGAGCACTCTTTATCAACCAGTCCACAATAACCCACATCGAATCCACCCCACACGCGATCCTGGGAAGCTTTGTGATGAAATCCATATTGATGTCCTCTCATTTCCATACAGGGATATCCGAAGTCTACATCTTTCCATAGGGCCTCTGGTGCTCTGCCTTGACCTTCCTACAGGTCAAGCATCGCTCTATGTACCAGGCTATATCCCGCTTCATGCAGGGCCACCAATAATTGGGGTGAAGATCCTGATAGATCTTTGTCTCCCCGGGATGGATGGAGAACCTGGACTTGTGGGCCTCCTACATCAATACCTACCATACACCTCCCCAATAAGGTACCTAGACCCTCCCATGCAGGGTAACAACTCACGACTATCATAATCAAATGAGGCCACCTGGCCTATAATCCTCTCACACTTCCGGCGTACTTCCTACATACCCTCAACCTGTACCTCTCAAATCTACTCCAGCAGTGGGGTCATCACTGTCATCCTCAGATATATGTCTCGTATCGGAACCGCCACCACCTTGCAACTC